AAGGTGGCATGAATTGTTTCTTCAACAATTTTCCTTGAAAGATTAAATACCCTGAAAGCCTTGCATACACTGGAGTATCCTACGAACACTCCATCAGCTTTAGCCTCAAACTTCGAACGATGATCTCTTTGATTCAAGATGTAACAAACACATCTAAACACATGAAAATATGAGATGTCTGGTTTCCTTCCTTTTAGTAGCTAATAAGTAGTTTTCCCATGATGTTTAATAATAATAGACCGGTTTTGGGTATAACACGATGTATTGAAAACTTCGGCCCAAAATAACAATGAAAGACCAACTTCAACAACCATATATCTTCTAGCTTCAATGCAAGTTATGTTTCTTCTTTCTGCAATACCATTTTGTTGGGAGTTCTAACTGCCGAGAAGTTCCGAGAGATTCCTGAGACTGAGAAAAAACCTTCTAGAGAGGAGGATCTGAATTCAGTTCAATGATCACTATGTAATTTCTTTACTTTGTGATCATAGAGGACTTCCCACTGCTTAATGAGAGTAATGATTTCATCAGCGGCATGACTCTGCTTTCTTAAAAAGACTACCCACGTAAACCTTGAAAATTCATCCATAATGACAAGAGTAAATTTTTTCCCAGCTCTTGACTTGATCGGAATTGGTCCAAATAGGTCCATATGAAGGAGATGAAGAGGTTTGATGATTGAAGAACAGGACTTTGGCTTGAATGAAGACTTAGTTTTCTTCCCTTTTTCACACGTTGAGTACAGTTTGTCCTTGACAAATTGCATCTTAGGAATTCCTCTCACAAGCTGATTTCCTGCAATCCGACATGTTCTTGAAGTTCAAATGCGATAGCCTTTTGTGCCATAGGCAATTTAGATGATACTTAGCACAAGAGAAGAAGCAACAACGAAGTGAGTTGTCAGCAGAAAAATATCCATAACATAGATGTCGTTTTGTCGATTTGCAGTAAGAATAGTGATGTTCTTTTGATCAACAACTTTTCCTTCTCTCTTGTTAAAGAGAAATTCATAGCCAGTGTCACACAGTTGACTGATAGAAATGAGATTATACTGAAGACCTTTCACATAAGAGACATTTTTGAAAACAACAGAATTGCACTTGATTGATCCATATTCCTTTGTAGCTGCCTTTCCATTATATCCATATGTAACTGACGGACCATCATTCTTTATGAAATCTTCCAGGAGAGACTTGAATCATGTCATATGTCTTGAACAACCGTTGTCTAAATACCAATACTACTTTCCACACTTATCCCTAGTTTCCTCAAGAATCATCTCAGGTCCTCTAAGACCTACTCAAAAATATCCTTCCGATACCTACTCAACAACAAAACAACCGCACTAAAATACTTCCTAGGTTCTCCTAGGATTTCCCACCTCCCCTGCCATCAGCTGCTGAAGGGCTCCAATCAATGTCAACCAACCACTTCATGAATACAATTACATGCAACAAAACTTAAATAATCCTTCGACTAAAGGACCCAACCCTACAACGGTTAGACTCAAACGAGAACTGCGCAATAGGGCCAAATCTTTCACTTTAAGATTACTTAACCTCCATTGCATGTAACTTAATGTATTCATTTGATAGTTTGCTCACATCAACGTGAGCCCCACAAAGCACAAAGCAAGCAACAAAGACGACTGGCACTAAGATACTATACAATTAGGCAGATCCTCATATGAAATTCTCGATCGCTATCTCCCAGCATCTTGGATGCACCTTCGCCCTGCCCTCACTCTCTCAAGAGTGGCTAATCATTCTATGTGCTATCCGACCATGAACTGTACCCACTCATGAAACTTCCACCAACCTTGCAACATTCATGCAGTAACATTCCAATCCATAAAATAACCAAGAACATCCATCTCACATACTATAACTCATTTTAGGAACTTCCACTCTCGCTGTTGATTGCCTTACGCATACAAATTACACCCAATCTAGCATCCTATGCTTCCTAGACTACAGGGCATCACATATCAGGCCAATCTATCACTGACTAATCAGAACTAGCATGCAAGTCTACAAGCTCATAAAATAGGCATACAAGGCATCTCTCCTAGCATTCTATCATGTAAACACTGAGCGGATCCTTAGCCCTAACTAGAATGTGATTCACAGATTCATAAATAAAATCATATCAAATAACATGTATGAATATTTTGGGAAAAACTTACTTTAGCTCGGTCAATTGCATGCACCACACCCTTTCTTGTATTAGAAAACCCATCTATTTAAAAACATTTCTTTTTGAAAAACTTTACCAAACCCTCAGTTTAAGTTCAGACATACCCGAGAGTATGTCCAAATCCATCAAACCAAGGCTCTGATACCAACTTGAAACGTCCCAAAAATTTTCATTTTTAAATTAATAAAACAGTAAACCATAAATGTAATTGAATTTTATCAGTACATCATCATCATCAGAGTAAATCACAAAATGCAGAAACGAATGGTGTGTGCTTTGTAATCATCTCGGGCTCTTCCCTTTGAAACCAGAAGTGCCTAAAACATAAACTGAAAACTATAAGCACAAAGCTTAGTGAGTTCCCCAAAATAACACATACCTTACATAATAAACACATAATGGGCCCCCCCGACATTAAGCCCCACTCGTTATACAGATCTGTCAGTCATCGGGCCCCGTCCAACATACATATAAAACATATAAACATATAAACACATAACACATGCAATAATCACAAAGATACATAGCATACATAATGGTCATCGGGGCCCGCCTGGCATCGGGTCGTACCCGGTAATCATAAAACCACATACAAATAACTAGCATATAATAGCCCGGCAGCGAGCCCCTCTCGGTAAACATAAAACACATAAAACATGCAAGACTCACGCAGACAACAAACATACTAAACATAACAACCATGGGTCGGCATTGGTGCCTTCAACCTGCTAAACATAGTGAGGAAACTCACCTCAATCCGCTGATGATCAAATAACCGCTCGGACCGCCGAACCGGATAACCTCGCGCCAACTAACAATAAATACAATCTTAATCAATAATTAACCCAATAACCCAAAATACCCTTAGGTCAAACTTGGTCAACCCTGGTCAAAGTCAAAGTCAACGATTAAGGTCCAAAAGTCAATATTTCTTCCCAACGGAGTATATCCTGCGTACCAAGAGAGTACGCCCAACGTACTCTGATGTTGACCAAAAGCGGGGGGCTGACTGCATACACGCAACACACCACCTGGTACACCCAACGTACTCACCCCAGTCCCAAAACTCCATTAAGAACTTATTCCATTAAGTTCTTACATCCAAAACTCAGATGCAAGCCTAAAATGATGTCCTAAGTCATAAAGTTTCCAAATTTATGACTTTGCATGGCTATAAAGTGCTTAATGTCCAAAACCCTAAGTTCTTAACCCAATAAGATGTCACAACTCTTGCATGGAATAGATCAAGGGCCAAGATCACATTTTTATAGTTCATAATAGTTTTATAATGGATAAAGTTTCCAACTTTATCCATTAGAATGGTCCCAACAAACAAGATCTACTCTTTAAGTCTCAAAGGGACCCAAAAGTTCATCTTTTTCAGCTTAACCCATTAATTACAAGTCTCCAACTTTCAAATCTGAATCAAAATGATGTTTAGATGGATAAAGTTTCCAACTTTATCCATAACAAGGTCACAAACTTTCAAGATTTAAACTTTATGCACTAAAATGACCAAAAGCTCATAACGTCCAAAACTAGTTAGATCTAACAAATGCATTATCAAGATTCAAACTTGATACCTCTAGAAGATAGATCAAGGTGAACAAAGTCTAGATCTACAAGCTCCAATGCAACCAACACTTATCCAAGAAGTTCCTCCTTCTCCAAGGTGCACCATGCATACTCCAAAGCACTCAACAACACCTTCTTTTAACACACAAGGCTCAACTAGGGTTAGGGTTTCATGGAAGGGGTGTTGGAGGGGTGGAGGCAGAGAATGGAATGGGTTTGGGGGAGTCAAGGAGCTTAAATAGGGCTCAAACCACAAAAATAGGGTTTGGGCATTGATTGTGTATGCCTAACGTACTTCTGGTACGCCCAACGTACTCAAGGTGCCTCAGTACGCCCATCGTACTCCCCTTTGTACGCCCAACGTACTCAGTATAACCCAAAACCGACCAAACTTCAAATGGGCATAACTTCTTCGTTCTAACTCCGATTTTGACGTTCTTTATATCCATGGAAAGGTAACGAGAAGCTCTAGACTTCTATCAACTCATCCTTGACTTAAAACTTTTCGAACAAAAATCCAAAATTCATAAAAGCCCGAACTGACACTTTATTGGAATACCCCTTGGCTCCAAAACACAAACCGAACTCCCGGATCATCCAAATTACATTATCCACACCCAAATGGGTCTATATCTCTTTTTCTCAAAGGCCCTAAGCCTGATGATACTCGGTCTTCGGGTCACCACCCCCACATAGGAAACGATTCGAAACAGGGCGTTACAAATAATAAAGCTTCTCACACCTTTATTGTGTTAATCTTTTAAAAAATGTTATGCATTATTCACCATACCAACAAAGTAGATATCTTCCAGAAGATGTTTTTTGCCTTTAGAACACGTAAAAGGGTACCGTACTGCCGTACAAATACTCCTTGGTAGTTAAATTCTACTTGAAGGTACAAAGACGTTGCCATTATACCTAGATTCGGATGTTGTTCTTCAGTTTCAAGAACACATTGAACGGTTTGATAGGAAAATGTTTTTTTATGATGTTAATAAACAAGGAACTATGATGTTTATTAACGAATATGGATGAAATTACATACATGACAAAAACAAACCTACTAAATGCCATGTATGAATGGTAACCAGTTTACCTCTTACTCATTTTCTTGGTAACGGTGTTTTTAACATCTAAGTACCACCTTTAAGCATGTATACGACAATTTCTTTTAAGAATCTATTTATATCAAAATTTATATTTTTTTGGGACAAGAATGACATTATCTCTTATATGAATAGTGGAGGGACCATTTTTGTATCACGTCTTCTACTTTCAAGTCTTTCAGTACACATTTGTAGATTTTTTCCACTTTGAAGATCCTAATCCAATAACTTTGCTCAACTGTAGAGGTACTTTGTTAGGCGAAGTGCTCTTCGGGATAGAGCACCGATCAAAGCTGCTGACATAGACGAACAACCTTGTCGAACTCTCACACTCCTAAAATCCTCCTACCAAGAACCCAACAAATTCAACCTGTTAGTTCTCTCAACTACCGCTTTATTTGCTTCTGATTCGATTACATATCGTTAGTTCACCCAAAACTGGTGTCTGGCTGGGTATCACTTCTTTTTTCATTTAAAATCAGCGATCCATATTAAATTCTTTGATCAATGTTCATGTCAGTCGCTTAAAACCGCACAATTTATTGGGTTGGTCTTGAATTTTATAGAAAGAAAAAGGGTACAGTGATTTCAGTTAATCGAAATTCGAAAAAGTCCATATCAGGGGCTCATTATTTATTAGTTTTTACAATTATTAGCTGAACTTGTAGTTATATTATTAATTCCCATGTGGGTATGATAAATTTTGTATCGATAATGGGATTTGGTATTGGTATGTATTTAATGTTAAAATTTATTGATTGTTGTTTGTGCGTTCGTTTGGTTTTACCTCTTTGGTGCCTTCGTATGTGTGAATTTCTGAATAATTTATTTCTGAATTGTCTGTCTGTATATGAATTGAAGTAATGGAGGAATCCAATTTGATATTGACCTGTTTAGGAGGTGGTTAGGTGGAGAAAGTGATAACATTGAATTTAGCAATGAATATAAATGAAGAAACCAAGAACATAAATGAGAAAAGTAACTCAGAAGAGGGAGAAGATACAGGAAAAGAAATGGTTCCACCTGTTGCAAATTCAATTCACAGATCAAGTTCAAGGCCACAGCTTGATCTTAGTGGAGCAGCCATTCAAGGGAATTTTGAAGAAAGAGATCCCACCATTCTTTTGCCTAATCAATCTGATGATATATCACATTTGGCATTAGACATTGGAGGTAAACTTTCTTCTTTTAGTTCAGTTTCCATCAATTAGTTGTAATTTTACAAGATTGCTCTTTGTTCTTTATGAAAACAAAAGACTTTTTTATTTGCTGTGTTTCTTGAATGCCTTTGTAGTTGTAAATATTATCTAATTTCAACGACTTTGCATCAGGCTCTCTCATCAAGTTAGTTTATTTTTCAAGACATGAGGATAGATTAGTCAATGACAAAAGAAAGAAGTCCATGAAGGAGAGATTTGGAGTTATAAATGGTAACAGGAGGAGCTTTCCTATCCTTGGAGGGAGGCTGCATTTTGTGAAATTTGAAACAGCTAAAATTAATGAATGTCTAGAATTCATCCACTCAAAACAACTTCACAGAGGAGGTGCAATTCTTTTGTTACTCTTTCCCTATTATTTCTATTCATTTCACTTATACTTTTCATCTAATTAAACTTATATATATTTTCTATCATGTATGATATGAATATTGATATGAACATCGGTTAGACAACGACAATGCAGTAATCAAGGTACACACGTTTTTTTCATCAATGTTTAATGCTTTCACCTTTATATATTTTTATAGCTTTAATCATTTTACATCTGTATCTTGCTTCATTTTTTCTACCTATTAACTTATTATAATGTTTTGAAAAGGCTACAGGTGGTGGGGCATACAAGTTTGCTGATTTATTCAAAGAAAAACTCGGAGTTAGTATAGAAAAAGAAGATGAGATGGATTGTCTTGTAGCTGGTGCAAATTTTTTACTAAAGGTGCTTTTCTATTCTATTCTTTTTCATGAATAAATTTAATAAGTCCATGCATATGTTAATTAGGTATAAAAAAAAAAAAAACTAAATTTTATGTAGGCGATTCGACATGAAGCCTTCACCCATAAAGAAGGTCATAAAGAGTTTGTGCAGATAGACCATAATGATTTGTATCCATATCTTCTTGTTAATATCGGATCTGGTGTTAGCATGATAAAGGTACCTTTTTTTTTTCTTTTCTTTTTTGATTCTTTTGATCTTTTTTATTAAGTATTTTGCGTTTATGTAGGTTGATGGAGATGGGAAGTTTCAGAGAGTTAGTGGGACCAATGTAGGTGGTGGGACATACTGGGGCTTAGGGAGATTGTTGACTAAGTGCAAAAGGTTACTCTTATTTGACCATTTTGGTCAACTCTTTGACTCTCCACTTTGACTTCCCGTTTAACAGTAGTGTCATTACAGTTTTGATGAGCTTTTGGAGTTGAGTCAAAGGGGAGATAATAGCTCTGTAGATATGCTTGTTGGGGACATTTATGGGGGATTAGATTACTCAAAGGTAATCGGTTGTAGAATGTAAATGTTATGTTTTTTTATGAAACTTATAAAGTTTATAACTTTTTCACTCCTTTGACTTGATTACCCTTTGATCTCAGATTGGACTTTCTGCATCAACAATTGCTTCCAGTTTTGGTAAAGCAATTTCAGAGAACAAGGAGATTGAAGACTATAGACCTGAAGACATTTCTCTCTCTCTTCTCCGAATGATTTCTTACAATATAGGACAGGTATGATGTATAGTGATTTTGTCTTTGATGAAACAGGTGTTTCCTTTAAATCCAATAATAAAACCATTTTTCATAGTTGATTAATACTTGTGCATAAGTCCTTAGCATATGCAAGTAATATCAAAGAAGATAATGGACAATGTATACTGTGGATCTGATTTCAATTTGATTTATGTAGATATCTTATTTAACTGCATTGCAACTTGGAATTAAACGAATATTTTTTGGAGGATTTTTCATAAGGGGTCATGCTTATACCATGGACACCATTTCTTTTGCCATTCAATTTTGGTAAGGATTACAATCTTTTTCCATTAGACATTTGATTTTAAGTTTTTAGCAAAAGGATTTAAGAAAATTTTGTTTTGATCTTATTCCTTTTTTTTAGGTCAAAAGGAGGGGCACAAGCTATGTTTTTGCGCCATGAAGGTTTTTTAGGAGCCTTAGGTGCATTTATGAGTTATGAAAAGCATGGATTAGATGATTTAATGGTTCATCAATTGGTGGAAAGATTTCCAATGGGTGCTCCATATACTGGAGGAAAGATCCATGGGCCTCCACTTGGGGATTTAAATGAGAAGGCAAGTATATGGTCAACAAACATAATATGAGTTATATGATCAAACAACATGCTATCATTAGTCTTTGAGTCTTTAATGATTTAATATTTTAATCACTGCATACATTATTCGACTCATTCTCAACTTGTTAATCTTTCTAGGTCAGTTGATAACTTAATATAAAGCAGAATGAGTTGTAATTTATAATAAACATTTAGTGTCAAGATTGATGCAAATTGGATAACTAATGTCCTTATATGTGATCTGAGCATGTTTTATGGCTTTTGAAGGGTGGATACAAAAGTCCAGATCTTGTATATAGCAATCAGAGAGGGAAAAATGTGCAACTTGATTGGCAATTCTATCTTGTATCTGCTTTTAATATATATATCTCTTATGTAAAATAGAAATAGGAAAGATCATGTATGGGTTTTGCAATAAAATTAGTGTCATATTCAATGCTTTGAAGAAACTGTGTAGAGTTATTTATGTGATATTGGCGCATCAGAAAGTATTGTAATCCTGTTGTAATGATGAAAATCTTTGTGATTTAATTAATGCCCATTTATGTATGTATTGCTTATGAGATCCAAATTGAAATGGTTTTATAAACCATTGTCAATTTCCAATATTAAAAGAAAGTTACAACATGCATTCAGAAGTAACTGACAAGTAGGTTAAAAAGTCAAAAATGCTTTATATTTTAGCATTTTGTTCATGTGCCAACTTTATTAAATCCTGAACTAATTCAACTGGATTTGGAATATTCAAGTTGCATTTCATCACTTTGGTATATAAATGTTCATGTAGTCATAACCTTTTGATCTATGTGTTTCTCTAAATGTTCATGTAGTCATAACCTTTTGATCTATGTGTTTCTCTAACTTTGCATGATAACTTAGTTAGAAATATTAGATATTATGGTTTATTCTTTTAGAGCTAAAGGTTACTACTTTATTGACCTAATATTGTATTTATAACTTATTGCAGATATCATGGATGGAGAAATTTGTACGTAAAGGAACTAAAATAACTGCTCCTGTTCCAATGGCTTCTCCAAGAACTACTGGTTTAGGTGGATTTGAAGCTCCATCATCAAAAGGAGACACCCTTCGTTCTGATGAAAGTAATTTAAATGTTGGTGTTCTTCATCTTGTTCCCTCATTAGAAGTCTTCCCCTTGTTGGCTGATCCTAAAACGTATGCAAATCACTACTATTTTACTATATGTTTACATGTTCATTTGCTACCATAAATTAGTATCTACATCACTACATGTTTGAATGATTAAAGATTCATCTTTTTTACAGCTATGAACCCAACACTATTGATCTTGCAGAACCCAATGAGCTTCAGTAAGTTTAAAGTTTTTATTTGGGTCAATGAGATAAAAGGGTTATTGTTCTTTTTTTTTTTTGTTGATTTGGATATTTATTTTGTTGCAGATATTGGTTCACAGTGTTGTCTGATCATTTACCGGATCTTGTTGATAAGGTAAATGGGTTATATTACAAACTTTCTTTCCATACCATGATTGAATGAAACAAACAGGAAGGAATCACATTCCATTCCATTAGGCAAAATGAACAGTTTCTTTTTAATTCCAATGGAATGAACCATTCCATTCCCTCCTACCAAACACTACTCTAAAGTTGTTAAAAAATTTGCAGGCAGTGGCAAGTGAAGGTGGAACAGATGATGCAAGAAGAAGGGGTGATGCATTTGCTCGTGCTTTTTCTGCCCATTTGGCAAGGTAAGACTAAATTCGATAATTTTTTTTTTATCTAATTTGGGAAAATTACAACAATATAAAAACTAAATTTCAAAAGCTTGCATCTTTTTTTTTCAAACTTGTTGTATTTTACACAACTGATTACAGGTTAATGGAGGAGCCTGCTGCTTATGGAAAGTTAGGGCTAGCAAATCTGCTTGAGTTGAGAGAAGAATGCTTGAGAGAATTCAACTTTTTTGATGCATATAGCACTATAAAACAAAGGTATTATACTATTATGTATATAATTTTTTTATTATTTATCTTTAAACCCATTTAAAATTTCATTTTTTATGGCAGAGAAAACGAGGCATCACTTGCTGTCTTGCCCGACCTTCTAATGGAGCTTGATAGTATGAGTGAGGTATAAGTTATAACACCATTTAAAAGGAAAAAAATTACATAATTAACCCAAACTCCTTATAGAAATACAATCTTTTCATGAATCTTGATGCAACCATTGTTTGATTTTCAGGAAACAAGATTACTAACATTAATAGAAGGTGTTCTTGCTGCAAACATATTTGATTGGGGATCTCGTGCTTGTGTTGATCTTTATCACAAAGGAACAATTATTGAAATCTATAGAATGAGTCGCAAAAAAATGCAAAGACCTTGGAGGGCAAGTCTTTTTTCCAGCAATTTAATTATTCACTTTACATTACATAGCCTTTTTTTTAACAAATAAAAAAAATCATTTTTTATATTTTAGGTGGACAATTTTGATGCGTTTAAGGAAAGAATGGGTTTTGGGGAGAATAAACCGCCACGTCATAAACGGGCTTTACTTTTTGTGGACAATGCGGGTGCGGATGTTGTTCTGGGCATGCTTCCATTGGCCCGTGAACTTTTGCGCCGTGGAACTGAAGTGAGTTGGTCAAGGGTTTGAGTCTCAACAGCTGCGGTGTCTGCAGTTGCAGTGTGGGAGTTTTAATTCCAATGCTGACTAGCATTTAATATATTAGCAACGTGATCCAACCAATTTTTCATATAAGACAAAAAAGAAAATAGTAAAAATTGGGCTCCTTCTCTCCTCCATGTGTCATACATACATTGGTTAGGTTAAATTACTTTTTTTTACATAATTATTTGGTTATTAATCAAACTTTATCTTCATTAAAGAAAATAAAACACACTAAAATATGTGAAAGAATTTTCTCTACAAATAGAGAACAATATTGATATATTTCCATATATATTTAAAAAAAAATATATTTCTTATATATTTGAAATATAAAATAATAAAAGTAATTAAATCTTTAATATATTTTAAAATAAAATAACTTGTTTATATTTCTTATAATTCAATAATAATTAAAGTTGATAATAAATAAAAAAAAACATTTTTTAATGAAAGATCATGTTCGGTTGCTTGTAAAGTAACAAAAACTGAAATCGTTGGGTTGTGTATGTGGAGGAGAAAGAAAGTTTTTTTTTTTTTTTTTTTTTTTTTTGTTTTTTTTTTTGTAATTAAAAAATATTGAGTTGGTTTGGGTTGTTGATAAACATAGTCCTATGCCAAGTCACCTATGTGGGCCAGCATTGGGATTGCCGGAAGAATAACCCTTTTGCAGAAGCTTTTTCTTTTTACAACTGGCGTTGGTCAATGTAGAAAAAAAGATGTGAAATGACATAAATACCCATAATAGATGACCACTTATTTACGGATTCTTTTTGCAGGTTGTGCTTGTTGCAAATTCTCTTCCGGCGCTAAACGATGTAACTGCCATGGAACTTCCGGAAATTGTAGCCGAGGCTGCCAAGGTTTTATAAACTTCCATTTTTTTTTTTTAATAAACAGATCTTTTAAAACATCGATTTTTTAAAAAGAATATTATAATGAAGCAAAGATTGTTAAAAACAAACAGCACTGTGACATTCTTCGTGGAGCTGCTGAAGCTGGTGGCCTACTTATGGATGCAATGATCAGTATTCAAGACAGTCCAAGAGAGAAATCATCTTCAACTCCATTAATGGTGGTTGAAAATGGCTGTGGAAGTCCATGCATTGACTTGAGACAGGTCAGCTCTGACCTAGCTGCTCTTGCCAAAGATGCTGACTTGGTATGCTGACCTGGAATTTTTTTTTTTTTTTCAGAATTCTATATTGCAAACGAGTTTTTATTGTGAACTTTTTGTATTTTTCAGGTCATTTTGGAAGGTATGGGGCGATCTTTACATACCAACTTTGATGCTCGGTTTGTATGTGATGCTCTCAAGGTAATTATAGCATTCTACTTTTTTTGTTAGGATCAGATTGCTATAATTGTGTAGATTTTCAAAGTAATATGTTTGTGATTTGTAATCAAGATTTTTTATTTATTTATTTATTTTTTGTAGCTTGCGATGGTGAAGAATCAACGGTTGGCTGAAAAGTTGATTAAAGGGAACATATACGATTGTGTGTGTAGATATGAGCCAGCCAGCTAATTGAAAATTCAAATCTTTTGTGTTTCTTTACTTTTTTTTTTTTTTTTTTTTGGATAATTTATTAATTATTATTTTGGTTTAACACAATAATTTTAAATTATTTGTAACGTATATTATGTATTAAATAAGTAGTATGATTATTGTAACTTTTATATCAAATGATCTAAATGAGAGAATTTTTTTATTATAAACATTTAGAAGTGTCTACAAAGAATAATATGTGTCACTAGTGGGGTATTATTCTTAGATTTGGGTGCGAGAGGTTCCGAGAAGTTCAGTATTTATTACTTTTACGTATTCCACCCCTTTATTCTTGTTAAGTTCTGTTTCGGTCCTCGATGTTCTGATTTGTAGCAAAAATGGTATTTTGTAGATATTTTATGCGTTATTAATTGGCCGACATTGGTTATTGTTTTATATTAAAAATTTGGATGAAATTGTTGCACGTATCATCTTGTATTGTAGTGGAATCTTTTTATTTTTATATATTAAAAGAATACATGACCGACTTCAATGTACCGGAAAATTATATAATGCAACGTTTTGAATTCAATTTTAAAATATGTTATGAATTTGTAATTAAACAAGAAATCTGGTTATTATAATTCAATTTTAGTTTATGTAACTACATCTTATATTTGATTATAATAATTTAAATATTATCTTAAAGAGTATTTTGTAATAAAAAGTTAAATAAAGATATGTTTTTGTGTATATGGAAATTTTCCCGAATAAAAAAAAAAAGACATGTAGATTTAGCTTAATAGATTAATAGTTCATTAAATTGAGGTGACTCTTGATTTTTCAAAAAGCCGTATAACAAGTCTATAAAGGAAAAAATGTGTCGACCTAAGCCATTATATACATGGATAAAGGCGAGTATGAAAAATGTATTTATAGTGTTAAAGTCCAAGGGATATGTGTTAGTAAAGTCATCACGAAACAAACACAAACAACATTTGTTAACTGTTATAACGTAAGCCACAAGTTTAGAGGAAACATTTGGTGTTTGGCAACTAATTTTGGAAAGTTTTTAGCTTTTATTTTTTAAAATGAAAAATATCGTTTGAGAGTATTAGTTTAAAGCTTTTATTTTACAACAAAAAACTTTTAGACATGATTGATAGTTGGAAGTTTTAATTTTTATTTGTGTAGAAATATTCAGATTAACTGTATAACTTTTTAAAATATAAGATTATATAAAAACTAAAAGCTACTCCTTATAATTTTTTCTTTGATACAGGATTTTTCTTAAAACAAACTCTAAAATATCATTAAAAGCTCTCAAAACCTTCACTGAAAGTTTTCAACTTTTACTTTCTAGTTTTCAGTTTTGAGCTTTTAATCTATGTCGTTTTATATGATTTTACAATTTAAAAAAAAAATACATCGAGAGTAAATCATTAAAATTAAAACATAAGTAATCTTTGCTTGATGCATTTGTGTTTTTCTCAGTTATCCAAGGCATGGGGAGATTTTGAAAAGTAAATGACTCATAAATCATAACTATTGTTTTAAATACAAATGGGGCAAGATTCTATCGTGTTTAATGAAATGTTATATTGATCGATTGACTTAGTATAGTAAGAAGCATTTTCGATTTTAAATTATTGAGTTGATTATACTAAAAGTTTGTTGTTATAGCTTCTAAGGTATAAAAAAAAAGTAAGTGTCAAGAACAACAAACCGGATTTAAGTACGGATGTGAGTTTCATATGTTATTTTGAAAATCGATATACATGCTAATATGATTTTACATATTATATTGACAAAACATAGTTTTCTGTTCACAAATCATGTGTTACAAATCTAATAACAAACATATCATTAAGAAAACGAAAAATGTTTTACATCAATACAGTAACCAACCGATTCAAGCAAATTAAATACATGTGACTATATGATAAAATTCATGCCATATAATGACACTTGATAGAAACAAAAGGCATGGCATTTGATCGACAAATGAAAACCACAAGTATTCAGTGATAATTGTTGTTAACAAGCATATGCATTTCTTTCCTGATTGACTTTTTTGCATTTATGAAAATGCATTTAACATGTTAGGTACTAATGTTTACCAATTAAATCAAAAACCATAAACTCTTAAATTTATACGCGTGCCATAAATATTTTATGTGATTCTTTAACAAATAATTAGGGGAGACAATGGTGCCCATGATACAAGTGTCGACCCAAGGTTTTCCTGAAAATTTTAAACTTAGGCCGTGGTTAGATGTCTATGCACTTTTGTTTATTTTAAGTTTTTATAAATTGTTATGTTTGACAAATTAAAAAGTAACTTATAAATAATATTAAAAAAAAAACTATTTATACAAAGGTTTCAACCGGTTTATTGAGTTATTCTAAAACTCTTCTAAATATATCCTTTATTTTTGTATTTTTATGTCATTTCTATTTATCAATTAGTTTTACAAATTATATTTTTTTATATGCTATCAACTAACTTTTAAATTAATATATCAAAAATAACCTTAGCATTAATCCTATAAATATGTATAGATGCCCCCAACGATGTAATTAAAAAGTGAAATTTCATACAAGAATTTCAAAATCCAAACCCTCTAAAATATTGCTAGTATTTTACGATTGAGCTGGTACATAAATGTTGAGACAACTAGTCACTCATGTTCTCTGGTTTACCATTTCTTTTTAAATGTGTAAAGATACAAACATATCTCGGTATTTTAAAAGCTTAAGAAGTTTTAAGATTAAACACGTTTAAGTGTTATCGTTTAATTAAGTAGAAATATAAGATAAGGAAAGTGGAAAACATGAATTATTAATTATTAGAGTAAAAACCGACTTAATTCACGTGTCCACTTGCCCAAGAAACCCCAAGAGTACAGAAGAAAATGAAATGGTGGGCAATTCCGTGGGAGAGAGGATTTCTTAACCGACTCTCTCCCCCTTAAAACCGGTGACACCGCCACCAGTTTCCGCCGCACTGCCTCGGCCTCTCTCTGTCTATGGATATTTCTGAGTCGATCGTTTCTTCCTCAACACAATCCATTGGCGTGCCTATTGTTTACTCTTCTACTAAGCGTTTACCAAAATTATCACTTTCGGGGATTTAAATTTGCCTCCTTCCTTGGCTTTATTCATACCGACATGCGTGAATGCATACACACATACAGTATACATACACATACACATATCTTCTTGTTTTGATTCACTGAGTTTGTTTAACGTTTTCGAATCGTAGATTCTTCTTTTGATTTTCTATAGCGGTATATACCCAGCGTTTTATCCAAGCGAAAGAGATTCTCCTTGATTAATACTGTTTGATTATTAGGAATTTAGGATAGTCCGATTGTAATTTGTTCTTTGGTTACATGCATTGAGTTGAAGGTAGGAAATTATAATTTGATTGCTTAGTTTATAAACAATGTTGCACTTGTTGCCGGCTGCCATGGATCCGAGATTGGTAGGCGATGATGAAGGAACCTCCTCGAGCTTTGGTGGTGACGATGAAATCCGTCGTCCGATTACAGAAGACTCCGTTTCTGTGGGGAGCTCGGAAGATGACGATGATTCTTCATCTATTTCTGATTGTGAAAGTGTTATATCCGGAAGTAGAATCGTCGAACATACCAGGATTCAACCAGAAGGATTGGTTCGATTGGATGTGAGCGAAAAAATGTACGGGATTATCGAGAAAAAGTTCATATCGAGATTGGATGTTCATGGGGTTAAGGCTCAAATACAAAACATCCATAGGAATCTGTTCAATACTAGTGCGATTACCCAAGCTAGACTGAGGAGCTTCCAGATTTTCTCAAAAGCTGTGGAGATTAAAAATGAAGATGTGGCTAATATCAAGTATGCTTGGTTTGGTGCTTCAAAAGATGAAATTCACAACATCATTCTGCACGGATTTGGCCATGAGAATATTCAAAAGAATGGCTCTTTTAGTCATGGCGTTGTTCTATCGCCTGATCATTCCCCCCTTGAAAGGTCAGTTGATTTTAATTCATGTTCTTCTTTCCAACTATTTCATTTTATTAATCTATTATATATATCAACAGTGTGGAGTCTGCAATTGTCGATGAAGATGGGGTAAAACACCTTCTGCTGTGTCGAGTGATATTGGGTAAATTGGAGCTTGTGAATCCTTCTTCTACGCAATGCCACCCGAGTTCAGAGAATTTTCAGTCGGGAGTCGACGATTTGGTTTCCCCTAAAAAGTTCATCGTATGGAGTAATCAGATGAGCACTCACATATTGCCAGAATTCGTCGTAAGCTTCAAGACACCATCGAAACCTTCAAACGTGAACAGTAAGTCACCTCAACAGTCTCATGCTTCAATAGTCAATTTCATGATTCAATGGACCTCGATTGATTTATATAAACAATTTTATATATGATTCAGGATCTCAATCTGATGGAGTTCGAATTCAGAAACCCGTTTCCCCATGGATCCCAATTCCAGAACTCATTGCAGCACTTTCCAAGATTCTGCCTCCTAAATCCATGAAGGAGATCACACAGTATCGTCGCAGTTACATTGTAAGTGCTAACAAATTCAAATTATACCTTTTTCATAAAATTATGGATTCGTTTTAATGGTTATTGGTATGATTTTACAGGAACATAAAATCTCTAGACGTGATATGATACAAGGAATCAGAGAATGTACAGGTGACAGCCTGTTGCTGATGGTTCTAAAAGATTTCACAGAGCAGCGAAAACAGGCCTGAATTGAAGTAAAGAAATTGTGGTTTAGGATGGAAGAAGGGTATTTTGGGGAATAAGTGAAAACTAACAGGGTACTTGATTTTTAGATATGTTTTAGGTTATACATGAGTCTAATGTTGTACCCTTTTTTATAGTTGAAACAATTGTAAAGCTCTGTGAGTTGGAACTTTTTGATTGTTTTGGATACAACAATCAAGAAATAGGTTTGTCATTTGTGATATGAAATCTTGATTTTCTTGTATTATTGCAATTACTTGTTTTGGGTATAATCAAGAAACGATAGTGTTGGCTTTAAGG